TTACAAAACGAAACAGCCTACAGTATTTTTACAGTCTTTATTTTACAGTTAAAATAAATGTTTATCAAATAAAGTCTAATGTTACAACTAATCGTGGATCCCTTTAACTCAACAAAGGCCTTAACAGCCACAAAAGCAACGTGTAATTATCTACCTGGTTATTCTGTTGAACAAATTATCTGGACAAAAGCCCCATCTGCCAACAAACACTCCGTGTCATTCACGGCTAACTAATCACACCWTGTCACTTTTCATTCACTTCCATTCATTCATTCATCCAGGCTCCAGATCCAGTTACACGCACCTGAACGCCTCACCGTTAGAAACACAGAGGCATCACCGAAGGAAACAATTGAAAAAAAAGAGGGCTTACACTTTCAAGCAGATGCCCAATTAATGCGACTACATCCTTTGAAGTGGAAGTCGTTTTTGTGCTTCATGAATTAAAAGAAAAAACTGCAAACAGCAAAAGTTTTTTTATGCTCTAGTCAGGCGTGCAGAAAGACTTTTATTTTGGCAGCTGGAGGTGAATTCATGTTGAATGTTTTACACAAATACAGTATGTGTCAGTGATTCTCTTATGTTGTTATCTTTTCAGAAACTTGATTAGTTGCCGGGGGAACTTTTCTCAATACCAATCAGTTGCCATTAATAAAGCAACATCCTCATCAACATAAACTGCTGGAACTCAGTTGGTTCAGTCCAACTCAGCCTTTTAGCTGCTGTATACAGACAGTGTTCATGTGAGCCGTATAAACTGTGATGTTAATAAGTTACACCWGTTCTACAACTCTTTCTTACAGTGAATAAAAAATGCTTCAAAATCATGACTTGTTAAACATTCAGCTAGACTGGGCTCAGTCTTTTATGACTTTCAGTTTTTGTCTTTTATTTAACTTCAGTTTCAGTTTGATTTATTTTTGTTTTCTGTGTGCCGGTGGGCGGAATACTTTGAAGACCTCCTCAATCCCACCAACATGCCTTCTGTTGAGGAAGCTGAGCCTGGGGACTTTGGGTTGGGCACTTTGGGGACTAAACGGGTCAGGGACCTCCACACTCTGTCAGTGAACCCCTCCTGTATCCAGTTTTCTACTAATG